GGGCAGGTGGTCTTTATAAAAGTTGTCACACCACAGGCTTGGCCGTACCACACAGAAATGTACTTATTTTTTAAATGTATATACTTGTTCATCATTCATATTTATACAATCAATTATAGTATTTTCTGCTACAATAACATTTTTTACCTTGTGCAGAAATTAAATATTAAGACTTTAGAATATACACATAAAAATCACCAAAATAATAAAAATCATCATTACCTGAATTTTATTAATTTCTCGTGACTTTGCACTATCAGTTCTTTGATTAGTTAAACCAGATGGCGCTGCATAACTCTCATCAACACCCATCATTAGTCGAGAAGATGATGTGGAGGATTTTTTCTAAAAATACAAAATGACATAGATACTTGATACATTACATTCAATCAGGTAATAGCTGGTAATTTCCCAACATGTATATGAACAATTCTAACTACAGGACTGGAACATTTAGAGTAATCACTTTGAGTCAACTTTTTTTTTTTTTTTTATAAAGTTTTTTTGTGCTAGGCGACAGTTCCAGACATTGAATGTCACTGTTGTCTCTCCAGCAAGTGCTAGTGCTGACACAAAGTGCATTTTGCCACAGAAGTCATATTTATGTTTGGGACTACAATGACAGGGCTGTGCGGCCATCTTCTTATCAAATGGCAATTTATGCGCTATCCTGGCCTCAACCAGGCTCAGTCAAACACAAGCACCTGCGATCCTTCTCAAGGTTCCCCCAAATTCGCATTTTTTAGTGAATGAATCTCGGCCAGTGGAATTGGCCTTCTTATTGAGTCTGTGGCACACTACATGGTAGGGGTCGACCTTTTTGATGTTCAGCCTAAGGTAGGATTTGAACTTGAGTCAGATGCGACAACCACTATGCTACCAGTGACCGGTTTTTGAGTGTGAAAGTCAACTTCACTTTTTTCTTTTTCCTACACATTGTTGATCAAGTCTTTTAACCAATAGAAAAATTAAGTTTATCTGAAGCAAAATTATCAAAAAAATTATAAAAAATGAATAAAAACATGCAAAATGTAGCGGAACAAAATGTAGTGGCACAAGAAGTGTTAGAATCCACTTAAACTTACAGTAAATTCCATGAAGTTTAAATTTATAAGCTTATAGTAATGTACATTTGAGGTGAAGAAAATTTAAAAGTAAATTTCAGGCTAGTATTCGATTTAAATTTCTGTGAGGTACAGTATACAATAATAGCTTTTTCTGTTGTGATGGTACAAAGCAATTTAGTTTCTACATTATCATCATGTACATTCATTGTAAATCAACTTCTAAACATAACCCCCCCCCCCTTTAGCTTTTTAAAAGGCTGCCTTTTTTTCACTGTAAGGATTTTTGAAGGATTAGGTTTTCAGATTTATATCCGACCAAATAACTAATATTTCATGAAAGAATTTGTTCATGTTGTCAAGCTCATATGTTTATTTGTTATTAATTATTAATTAAATTTTTAATTAGTCCCTCAAAAGAAATTGGTTTAAATTCCAAAATTCTCTGAGAATTGGAGCAAATATCACAAATGAACAGCATACACATAGTATTTAAATGAAACAGAAAATTAACATGCTAGGCATGCACGATATGTATTTGTTTATCCATGGAGGTAAAAAAAGAAGGAGCCTATTGTTTCCTTTGTGTACTATGATAGTTGGCAATTGTTTGCCAAGCAATCAATGTGCTGTCCGTTTTCCTGTTATCTGCATAATCCCTTAATGGGGATTACGTGGTTCAGAGTCTTCTGACAAACTTTGACAATCATCTGAATGAACTGCGCATGTGCAGAACCAGATAAAACAAACATGGCGTCGGGCGTAACACGAGTTCCTATCGAAATTTTCGATTTAGATTTTTCTGCGGAAGAATGGGCAGACTTGGCCGTAGTTGGGAATGAACTGGCTATTTTTCACCAGTCATTTTGTATATGTGGTGTTGAAGAGACAGAAAGCATGATTGCATGTGAAGACAACGACTGCACAGTGACATGGTTTCATTGCCAGTGTGCAGGGTTGACAGCAAAAACTAGCCGATGCACTGTTCAGCGTCCTACCATCGCACCAATTGTCGCGATT